GAGGTTGAGGTCGAGGTGGAGGAGGATGAGGAGGAGGAGGAGGTGGAGGTCGAGGTGGAGGAGGAGGAGAAGGACAAAACCAGGGACCAAAAAGAGGTAAGACGAAAAAGTGACAAGTCTACAAGGAGTCGAGGACAGGGTAAGGACAGAGGGGGCAAATAGAGGGGTAAAAGGAGGGTGCCGTAAGGAAATAAAGACTTGGGGTGAGAAAGATGAAGGTAAGAAAAGTTGGGGGAGAGGACGGAAATGAAGACACGTAAGAAAGATGGGAGTCACGAAGAGTTGAAGAAGAGGAAAAGGAACGGAGAGGGAGAGGAGAAAGCCATGAGCATACCTGAACTGGATTTACGTCATTTGCATTTGCAAAATCAATATCCTCTCGATTGAGAAATCTGCAGACACAGGACAAGAGAAGCAGCAACCCGGAGAGGAAGGATCAGAAAAACATTTCTGAAAAGACACTACCAAGCAAGTTGTCCTTGTCCTCATATGCATAATTGAACAACAGTGATCAGCAGATGATAAAAGTGTGCCAGGCAATGAAATCATGCACCAAAGGAGAAAGGAACCAAATGCCATCCCGGCCGAGCTAAGGTTTGTGACAAAGAGGTTCTCTCTATCTGGAGCACAAAAGCTACTTGATAAACCACACACCGCTTTTTTTTCCCCCCTCGTTTTTTCCTTGTTTTTTCTTTTTCTTTTCTTTTCTCTTCTTTCTTTTGTTTTCTTCTCTCCTCCCCCCCCCCTCCCTCGCCAACAGGGCTTTATGGTCCTGGCTCCATATCCATTCTGGGGAGCGTCAGTCAGGTTCCTTTCCCCTCGGCAGGCCGAATGACCCCTGACCAGTACTGATTACTCGAAAGTTTGAAACACATGGAGGATTGATTGGGCAAATAAGTTTCAGGCAGAAATGGTCACATTCTTTACCGCTGCACTGATAACCCTCCAACCCTGGGAAAGAAAGATGCCACCAAGGCCATCAAACCCACACAAAGCACAATAAAGCTTCATCCACCAACTAAAATTGCCCACTAGGCCAACAATGCCAAAACAAGCCTCAACCAAATCCACCAAAAGGGTCTTGTCTATCTGCTTGAAAAACAACTAAGTACCCTATTTGCATGACTACAGAGCCTAGTGTTAGGGGTAAAAAGGAAAATTTCCAGCTTAGGATTCCAAGGCAACACAGCTTCTCCCTCCACCATTACCCATTACCTTGTCTACTGTGACCCAGCAATTAACCAAACACGTTTTGAAGCAACCGAACGTCTTCAGGTTGCACCCTGGAGCAAGCAGGAATCAAATACAAGCCGAGATCCGTAGGGGCCATACATCCTGAAACCACCACAGTTCCCCTTGAGAAGCCTTTTGAGATTTTAATCATTTTACCTTTCAATGCCAGTCCGACTGAATCGCTCGTCCCAACTTTGTGAGATAACTGCAAAACCGCAAAGCACACAACTCGAGCAGGTTGGGGCACATAGCCCC